CCTGAAATTTCTATGTACTTCTGAAACAGCAATCACAATTAAGCCTCACCTCACATGGAAAACAGCAACACAAGAAAATCAATAAATATGGGAAAGTACCAAAAAAAAACCCCCAAAAAACTCAAAAAACCAACCAACCAAAAAAAAAAAGCTGTGACAATAAAAAAACAAGAAGGAAAGAATATATGTCTCCCAGTGCTCCACCCACACCAGGTGTCATTTTTGCAGAACATTCTACTTCCTCTCTGCAAGCCCATTATATTTGACATAAATCTGGGTGAAAGGAAAAATTCTTCCTCTTTAAATCTTAAACATATCGTGGGCCAGCTCAAGACTGATTTGTCCCAAGGGGAAGGGGTGACATCCCTCACTGACCTGGGACTGTGGAGGGACAGGAGTGATGTTTGCAACGTGACTGGAGATGGGCAGGATGTTCAGCTGGTCATCAATCACCAGGCAGTTCTTGCAGGAGGCCAGAGACAGGATGAACCTGAGCAGGAAAACAAAGGCAGCGCAGTAAAAACTCCACTTTTTGGTAATTGTTTCAAACTCTTTTCTAAACAAAGACAATTACAGGTACTTAGAACTGAGCTCCAAGTTCACCAAAGCAGCCAAAAAACCCTGTTCCAGTGCAAACCTATAAGATGCTTTCCTATTAGGAATACATGATGTTCCTCATGCTTTTCTGGGCCAGATAGCCCAGACCCTTTCCACTCTCAGTAACTCACCTCTCATTAAACCTTCCCACCACATCCTGGTGTGCCTCTGTTCTGTATCGAGAGTGAACATCCTGAAACAGAGAGAAGACATCCCTCTGGAGAAGGAACAGCACTGACAGTGACATCTGCAAGACTATGACACATGGTATAATCCATCTCTTCCACTCCTGTGGATCATAGCCTTCCTTTCCATCCACAGCACGCCCCAGACAGAATCCTGATTTCCTGTTTGCTGTGACACACCCACATTTTCCAAATACTTGTTAAAAATGTACTTTTACTACCAATACTTTTATTTATTCTGGCCTGACTTAAAGGTCAGCTCTGCCAGAATTTATCAAACACCTTGGGGATGCAAAGAAACAACATTCTCTCACTTTAATTCACCCACTGCTTAGTAACAGAAATAGCTCCTGCTCTAGGTGTAAGTATACTCAGTGTGAATATAATTCCTATCTGGAAATACATAGTAGTTGTGGAGCTGATCTCACCAAGTAACAGGTCACAAAACACTCAAAAGACCTGTTTTTTTTAACTTAAGTTGCTGATACATGGGCAGATAGAATAAATACTTTTCAAAACTATTGTGGAACTAAAGAACACAGTTACATTTGTGAATGGCAGGTGTTTCTTCCTTGCAATTCCTTCCTTCCCAGCAGCATTTCAAGGCAGAAATGCCCGAGCATTTCAGTCAGAGGTGACTGAAAGACCATAAAGGGAGATCAGAGCCCATAATAAAAGTAATAAACAACCACTTGGCATCATTACAATGCAAAGAACACAGACACATCATGTAGAACGTGCCATGGTCATTGTGTACAGCTGCTTCAGGGAGTTCATTGTTCTCAGAAGAATCACCACAATTCCACCACCTTCCACTGTTTCAACAGTTCTGGCCAACAGGTTTGGAGTCAGGGCTTCAAAATCCTAGGGAATAAATAACATTTCAAAGTTGCCTGGAGTTCATCAGTCCTACTGGACGGCAGAGAAAGCCTAAAAATATTATTTAATTCACACTTAACATTTGCATTAACAAATGTCCTGTTAAAACTTCTACCACCAAGGCCACCTCACCCTCACAGAACTTGTAAAATTGGAGTAACAAAGCAACAAATACTATTCCTGCAAAATTTAAATTAATCAATACCAGAGCAATGTCCTTTTTGAGTCCAAAGTTGAAGTCCTCACCTGAAGGACACACATTCCAAAGGTGTTCCCAAGAATCTTGTGGGTTTCATTGTAGTAACAGTAGCGAATGTTTGTGGCTGCTATGAACAGCTCAAAGGGATCATCATCCTTTATGTTTAAAGTGCCACTCTTAATCTTCTTCTGGAGTTGCCTCATCCTCTTCTTCCTGTGGCTGGAGGACCAAATCACACAGAATTTTTCTTGGAAAAAGGTTAAGTTCAAGTCCCACTGGAAGTCAGAGCCCAGTCCTGAATATTACTGAGGTTAAAAAGGTGAGGGACAGATTGGTCCAGGGCAACAGATTAAAGTTAGAGCTACAGAAAGAAACCAGAGGTACCAAGTGCTGGTGCCAAGTGTATTATGGAAGCCAAATTTAGTTTTGGATAAGGAAACACACGAGGTTTCTCTTACCTGCTGAAGCCCAGCTCCTTTTTGTAACACCACAGGACAGAGGGTCTGGCCTTCACTGTGGCTTTGGACAGCATGTGATGCAGGATCACCACCTGTCAGAAACAGAAACGCTCATGGACAAAATCAAAGAGCAAAATATCTGTCCATATTTTATTTTATAGCTATGTTTTCTACTGTGCAAAACAAGGATCCTGTGATGTGTTGGGAAGACGACCTTCCTTTTCACACAGTCCTGTGTGTCTGTGCCTTCTCCAGGGCTGCATGACATTGATTTATGCCCAGTTTTCCTTAGCTCTCTTTGGCAGAACTGCTAAAAACTGCTCTGACAGAAGGAGATTATTACAGGCTAAATACAGTTCCTAGTATTTGTATCTTACAATGGATTTTCCACAGAATATTTTAGTATTTCAGTGAAAACACTGAACACAACCAGACTTGGGATATGCCCTGACAGACCTTACCCATCCACCTTACCAGTAAATTAATGGCAACTTTCTTGTACTGCCACCTGATCAACTCCTTATTTTCCAAGTTTTTTTGTAACTAAGTTACAAATCCCCTGGAGGATGTGGCACTTGGGGACGTGGGTTGGTGGTGGGCACGGCAGTGCTGAGGGAATGGTTGGACTCAGTGACCTTAGAGGTCTTTTCCAGCCTGAACAATTTTATGATTCTATGACCTGCCTTATCCTAAAACATCACGGGTTTGCCGTGCTGTTCTTTCCTCTCCCCCATGAAAAACACAAGCCTAGTCTCCGAAATGAAGCGAGTTTGGCAATCACTTTCTTCCACACAACGCTACCAAGTGGGTTCATCTGCAAGACCATTGAGTACATAAAGCACGTTTTGAGCCCAAAACCATCGCGTCTCACGGCAGAGCTGAGACAGGGAAGAAAGCTCCAGCCGGCCAGAAAATGAAAGATACTTTCCCCCAGCTTAAAGTAAATAAATGAATAAACAAACAAACAAACAAATAAATGAATACGATTTACCTGTCCTGGCTCCTGTTGGCCAGAAAATTAAATATACCTTCCCCCAGTTTAAAGTAAATAAATAAATAAATAGATCCGATTTGCCTGTCCTGGGTTTTATTGGATGCTCATGAGCTTTCTCAGACCGATGTCTAAGGGCAGGGTCTCTAAAACCCGTTTCTAACCCCCGCGCGTGATGCTGGCGGGTTTAACCCCCGCTGCAGGAGGGAGAAGCCTGTGCCGGGGATTAGGGAACCCCCGGTTCGGTATCACGCCCCACGCTCCCGGTAACTCCGGGGCAGCGTTACCTGGTCCTTGCCGCGGTCTCCCACCACCACGAACAGGCTGCGCTGCCGCTCGGCCACGCCGTTCTCGATGAGCACGCGGATGCGGTTGTCCACCTTTCGGCGCTGCATGGCTGCGGGCCTCCCTGAGCCTCCCCCGGCTCCCGATCCCGATCCCTGTTTCGCTCCCGCTCCCGGCGCTCCCAACGCACCACGTGGGAGCCACGTGTGGCAGAGCGCGGGCGCCGCGCGCCGCGGGAGGACCCCGGGGCTGCCCGCGCCGTTCGCCTGCGCCGCACACCCACACAAACATCTCTAGTTCTTTTTTAAAGTATAATAATTTAAGGTAATTTTCCACACGGGAAAGCCGCAGCGGAGTTGAGGAAGCACACACACTGGAACTACGCGCACCCCTGTGGCCAACCGGCTCCCAACAGCCCTCACAGACACAGACCAGCCCTCACGTCTCACAGCTATTTTTGGTTTATTTCGGTGGGGTTTGCGTTACTCGCTGTAAAAAGGGGATGAAACCAAACTCCAGCCGCAATGGCAACACCCATTTTATTTTTCAAATCTCTTGTTCTACAGGAATCTTGCTTGCAAACCCCAAAGACCATGTTCCTCTGATTTTATAAAGATATTTCTTTTCCACCCACTACAGTCCTACGTGAGCCAGACACTGAGTCTGGGTGGCCTTTGGGACTGCAGAGAGGAAAACCAAAAAATATATACATAAAAGGGCATCTGGACACAGTTTTCCCATGGAAACATGACCACAGAAAACAAAACACACATACAGAAACTAATAAACCTTTAGGATACATAATTATCTGATACCAAACCATGAAACCCCCAAAAATATTATTTTGCTCCTCAATAAATCTAGGTAGAGCTTATAACACTTAAGCTCTACTGTTTAATAAAACCATCTCATTAGTTTTACAGTTTTCTATATAAAAGCCCAAGTTGCAAAACTGTGGAGCTTCAACGAAAAAACGATCAACCTGACTTGAAATTTCAGCGAGTTTTCAGAAACATGACATTGATTCTCAAACTGACAGTTAAACTATTCCTAACCTTTCAATACCAAAGTTGAGCTGAGCTATTTGCATAGATATATTTATTCTTAGCTTTTAATACTGCCAAAATTTGGTTTTTAACTCGAACATTTGAACAATGAAGCATTTAAAACCAGGTAACATCATAGGAAAACTTTGTTTAATACCACTGGATGTATTTTGGGGATATTTGTTTTAAAATATAACAAAAATATGATAAAACTACTGAATTAATCATAATAAAGGCTTAGAATAGTAATTTTTTTAGGTGAACCCAGACAGACCCTGTCACTGAGACAAAATCACCAATGAAGTGTAGCAAGACAATTCCTGAACATATAGGTACGAAATATTTGCTTGAAAGGACATAAAACATTTAAATAGATTTATTTTTCAAGTGTTTACATAAGCCATGGACCAATTGGTTTCCAACGTTGAGTTTAAGAACTGCAAAGACATATATACAGGTATGTTTAAGGCCATCAGAAAATTTAAACCTGACAAGAAACTAAAACTCTGAACACTTATTTTATATGGTAGAAGCATTGCTAAAATTTATTCTAAAACTGAAGAGCTTAAAAAAAAAATACATTTTCATTTAATAAAAGTCTAATGGATAATGACTAAAATTTAGCTTGAGACCAAAATTCCAGGTGTACTTTGATTCACTATTTGAACACATTTTATAGAAATGAGAACTGAGCCAGTTACACCCATGTCATTGTTTTATGGACATTAAAAAGTGAGGGGAGGGGAAACAGAGTGTGGCTTTTAAAATTAATAACTGCAGCAAGAGCAAACAATAAATTTAATTCAGAACCAAATGTGAAGTTAAGCTGAAGTTTTCCTAATACAGTTCTCTTATGTGCTGCTCAGAGTGGCTTCAGGATGTGGATTTTGGAAAACAGATTTCCTTCCCTCCATTAAGGCTAAACCCAGAGAGCCACAAATAATTTTAATAGCATTATATTCAAGAATTGAGTTTTCAAGGATTGAAAACTTTTCCTGTCCCATCCACATGGAAAGCAGATGGAATATCATTGAAACACATTTTAGAAATTAAAAGTCTAATTCACAGTGACAAACCTCAGCTCCAGCTACAAATTTGTGTCTTCAAGCATCCATTTCCATCTTTGCAAACACTTTAACCAAGAAGTTTCACATAAGCAAGAGACATAATGTGTTTTTATCCAAGACGGATCCAGCAGCCTCATTACCTGGGCTGGTTAATGAGTTCTTGAGTCCCCCATTATATTCACAGATTTGTTTTTAATAATATGAAGTTCAACCACTTTTCATTTGTCATCTTTTCAGTATTTATCTACAGTTAAAACCTCTTCAGTAACTTCTCTCCAAAGTAGTCACTCAAATGCCATTTGGGGAAAGAAGGAAGCTCGATCCATTCTCCAAAGACCTGTAAAAGACATAATCAATCTGCCTCAAAAATAACGTCAGCAGGACACTCTGAGAAGACACATTAAGGTCCCAAAGTTCTCTGAGAGTTTCAAATCCCAGCAGAATGCATTTATTGGTTAAAACAAGAAGCCAACAATCCTCTTTCAACTACTCTGATTGCTGAGATGCAAAAGGCAGTATCTTGGAAAGAAAACAGGAGTTAAGTGAAGTTTAGAATGCTCCACAGCAAAATCCCAAAGTTGTACAGTGTTCTTAATATATGCAGGAACAACAGAAGTAAAATTCAGGACACTGGCCTCAAGTACGAGACAACAGCTCTGATTTCTAAGTTTTTAAGTTTTAGGATGTCCAGGAAGAATCCGAGTTCCCCAAACACAGTAACAATAGGTATAAACATCTGAAGTAATTGAGTGATTAATACTGTTTGCTCAAGAAACCTTGAATTACAGCCAAGAAGCAGCAAGAGGCTGAAGGCAGAGGTTTGTTCTCAAACACACCCCACTGCACGTTATCACAGCCCAGATAACAAAGGCCCTGCCAAAATAAAATTCTCAGGGTAGCTGTATATGCAAGAAGGCAGCCAGAACTAGGCTCCAATTCTCCCAAAAACACTTCTTGGAAGAATCAGGTAAAACCACCAAAAAGGTGCAACTGCTGTGTGTACCTGCAGGCTCAGACACAGCACTGTGTTATCCTCACTCTCTCCAACACAGGATGTTTCCCCAGAGGATAAACACCTCATCCTGGGCTCTGCAACAGAAGCAGCCTCGAAATCCCACCACTTTGCCTCACGATTAACTTCTTGTAACGGTCTTGGTTCAAGATATGACCTTTTTTAAAGGAAACATACCTAGGAATGCTCACAATCAGGATGGGACTCAGACCCAGAGCCAAGCTACAGAGTAAGGATAATTTGGAGCTCCCCTGAACAGGCCAGAAAAACAGTGAGTGGACCCATGTGCCACAGGGTGACCCCAGAAGAGCTTTCGCTACAGTTTATTAGATGAGATTAAAGGAGTCAGTGCAAATTCCCAGCTTAAACACCTCTCATGGACTTGTTCCTCCTCTCCCTCTCCCAGAAAACAGCAGAGCAGCTGCTCTAAAGGCTGTTCTCACACCAGAAAACGTTTACAAACTTGTCAGGAGGCCCCTTATCTACCCGATGTTTTATTTTAAGTTGGAAAGAAACCCAAACCAACCCCCAATACTTTCAGTGGAATGTTCTGATCCATTCAGGAATCTTTAATTCAGTATGTTGCATGTTTACTGCCCAACTACAATCAGCTACTTAAGGAGCATTTGGTGTGCAATGGGAAAAGCTGAACAGCTTGTGTTCTACCAACCATTTAAACAGGAAGCTGATGCACAAAAAAGAAAAAATAATTAAAGGAATTCACTGTTTTCCTACATCAGTTCGACATTAAAAGGTTTGTCTTTTTATTTGTTTCCAGTTAAAAAACAGTTGGGACTATTATCTCAGTAATAACCTCCTAAAAAAGACACAGAACAGCAACTTCTCCCCGGCTGCAGTTTTTGGATTGTGATACTGGTACGGAATGTTTTTAGGCCTTGACTCAAACTGCTGCTCCCAGACATCAGCACCGTTTCAGGATGCCTGGTGTGGAATATTGTCTTCACAAACTTATCACTTCCCGCTGCAAAACCATTTTTCATTTGTGCTCTTCGCATAGGACATGGAAAAGTGAGATCACCACCTATTTGTACGGAGTTCCAGGTTGTTCCACCACGAAGTCAAAACATCTGACTGCAAGTTCTGAAAGTTCTGAGTGAAAACAACCTTGAGTTTTGTATAGAACAGGTAAACAACACGCAGCTGTTCCTTAATTTCACCTTTCCACAGGCAGGAATTATTTGATGAGCAATATTTAACATAGAGTATATAGCACTTTTCTTCTTGCATGTGCTATAGAATGCAACAGAACTACCAACACCTCTATGGAGGCAGCATCAAAATATTCTCCCCACTGCAGAGAGAGTGCATGTGCGCAGAAGGCAGGCACAAGTGATTTTTCCAAGGATTATACCACAAGGATGCAGTAAAACTTGAGTAAGACTTGTTATTTTCCAGCTCCCAGGCTTATGCCATTGCTTTTATACATCGCTGCCTTGACGAAAAGGAAAAGTCCATAAAAATAAAGGTTTCCCAGAAGTCACAGCTAGTAGAGTAAAACCAGGAAAACAGGAGGAGGGTTTACATCTAGTCAGGAAAAGAGATTATTAGGGAGAAAAAAACCCAAACAAATAAAAAACCTTATGAAATGTCACCCCATCACATGGAATCTGTTTCAGTCGTTGAAAACCAGTGTTCCAGGATACAATTTTTATAAACATGTTTTATTTGTCTTGCTTATACCATTAGAACTGTAACTGCTGGCTGTCATTTCCCTTCAAAGGGGAAATCAACTCAAACACATACTGGTGCTTTTCAAAAGAGAGCAATTAAAAGGGCAGCAGCAGCAGCGGGCATTTGAGATTTCTTCAAACCTTCAAGGCTGCAGGAAAGACAAAAGGACATGTGACCAAAAGTGTTATGATTATCCATTAGAGATTTCCATCAGTACCGGCATCAGTTATTTAGGTGATAATACAGCAAGGTCAAGTATTAGTGACAGACAATGTGCAAGTCATAAGGAATGATCGAGAATACCAATCCTTACAAAAGTCATTGCTATCAGAGGAACTTAAAAGTGTTTCAGAGAGATACCTAAATACTTCACATCAAATATACAGTGGCCATCCAGATTATATCTCACATTTGTTGCAAAATTTTGTTGAAGTGCCAAATCAAAGCTTTGTTTTTGGGTTTTTTTTTCCTTTTCTCCTAAAAAAAAATAGTTACACAGTTACATTAGCAGTTATGCAAGCGTTCTTAAATCCTTAGCCACAGGATTCAGGGCCCTGGTGAGGAGGAGGCTGCAGCTAAGGGTGCTTCTTTGTCAAAAACTGGCTCTAAGCCCATCTGTCTATTGAGGGCAATTGCATCACTACACATCTTTAACTGTTCAGTGCTTCAATTTAATAAGAAAAAGTTGAAATGCAGTTGCTCTACCAAGCCACACTTCACCTTTTCCATCCTTTCATGGGCACATTGTTTTGTCAACTGCCACCACAGTAAATATTTATGAATTTGCAGATTTTATCCCAATTTGTTAAATCGCTTTTAAATGTCAGAAGTGAGTCTTTACTTTTTTCCTGCCACTTCAGTTAACCATGGAGATTGGATCACCCTGGAAATTGCCTTTTTTTTTGCTTTACTCTTAGCAAGGGTGAGGAATCTGAATCTCATGTGCAAGGCTCAAGATGATGCTTAGGACAGAACATGCAGAGTAAACGTTGTTTCGTTCCTTTCAATATCCAGGTAATATAAAGCTGGCAACTGTAGTCCTGTCATTATGGGTAATGAAAATAGTCCCTTTACAACAAACTTCCTGTAAGGGAGAACAAATAGATAATAACTCTTCTGGTAACATGTATTGTACACTGGCCAGCGTGTTTTTGGCGTTGAATGTGATCCTGTGAATGTGTTTAATTCACTTGCTGAGCGTTCATCTGAGGCATCCCTCTGTTTGGTCTTGGGGGTCCTCCACGACCTGGGAAACACAAAAAGCAGGTTGAACTATGAAGTCTGAGCATTTAAAAATATTCCTAAATGTTCTGATGTAAACTGTGTAAGAATTTCTTCATTACAACTGGGCTTCCTAAAATATATGGCAATAGTAATCAAAATAAAATTTAAAGTTCAACTACAGCCTCATTATGTCTGTGGGTTTTTCTGTTTTGTTTCCTAAGGCTTTCATTAATAAAAGGCAGGTAACTAGTTCTGCTACATTTAAAGTGTCAACAGCAATTGCTGTTTTAGCCTCTTTTCCAGAAATTCCTCATTCAACAGCCAACACAACTTCCACCACAAGTTCAAAGGATCCCAGTACAATTCAAGTCAGGAGGGTCCTCAAGAGGTTCTCTAAGACCCTGCTCAAAAGCAGGGTCAGCTCTGAGGTCAGAGAAAGTAAACTTCAATTGTGAACTGCTGAGTAAGGGGTGAGGTTGGTTTCTAAATCCAGAACTCTGGAAGTTGGATCAAAAACTTCCATTCAGCCCAAATCAATTATTCACTACTCAGGAAATTACCTCTAGGAGCTCCCCGAGGTCCACTTTGTCCAGAGCCACGTTTGAAATTCTGTTGATATCCATCCTGAGGCAAAGAAATTAAGAAAGTTATGACATAAAACATGGGCACTGTTATTAATCGCAAATAAAATAAGGAGCTTTTAAAGCAGCATACACTGACAACATCTGTGACTTCAACATGCAGCATTTCATCAGTCTGCATTAATCTTAGAAGAATTAGTTCTTACTTCTACTAGTGCCTAGCAGCTGTAATAAAATGTGCAATGACAAATGCTCCCTCCAGTTACAGGATGTGTTGCTCAGTATAAATAAGAAATGTAAATAGATGTATTTAGTGTTTAAATTTTTCAAACTACACTGAGGTAGTTTGTGTTCATTACCAATAAAAGAAGTCCTTGGCAGAGTTTTCACTAATAGATTTGAGTGCTTTTGTTTTTTACCCCACACTGTGGTCTCTTACCCGCTGGTAATTTGAGTAATCCCGAGGAGCATTGAACTGGGGCTGCGTATAACCACTGTTTGGAGTGTTGGAAAAGGAAGGACGGTATCCATCGTATCCCCCTAAGGAACAGGGCACAAGTCTTTCACTTGAAAATGGGAACTTACTACTCGACTTTCTGCTACCATATAAAGAAAAGCAGTAGCGGGATTTTAACTAAACCTGAGCAAAACCCCCCACCCCTTTAGCAAGGGCTGTTTACCTGCAAGTCAAGCAAATGTTTGCAACGTCAGGTTAATACTATTACAAGAAACAAGAACAAAGATCTAGTAAGAACTGGGAGGAAAAAGCAATTCAGTGCATCTCTCTGGTAATCTGAGGTTTGATTTACAGAATATTCAATCCAGAACTAACCATGATACTAGGATCTGTATCTAACAGCTGTGACCGCTGCACTCCTACTACAATCAGTTGTATTTTTATTATACAGGTTTCTTCTCTATTCCCCAGCCACAGGAGAGGAAAAGAACGTGGCAGATAGTACCTGTGTCCATTAATCTAATCCCTCCCAGAACACCTGACAAGGAAACCATCTCTCCCTCCCATTCTAACAATGACAGCCACATATAATCATCTACAGGAATCATGAAAATTCTCTAATTTACTCAACTACAGCGTCATTCCTCCACTCCTGTCGATTCCCTCAGAGTAGTGACTTTGACACTCTTTTGTTCTTACACTTCTACATTACCCAGTCTCTTCTGACTGTGGTCAAACACAGAACTCTAAAATATACTACTTCTACCACAAATGGAAACAGAAAACATTTCTGAACCATCAACTAGCATTTAAATTCCTCACCTGAAATTCTGTTGGGTATTTCTGTTATTTGCTTATACTTGCAGTAAATGCCTAATACATCCCAATATCCTCGTAGGATATCCAAACACACATCTAAAATTTAAGTTGCTTAACTAAAGCAAGCGGTTTTATTGCTACAAATTTCAATATCACGTAGAGATACTATTACAGTCTAACGACAGCAGGTCAGCTTAACATTTGCTAGAGGTGCACATTCAGTGAGTGCTTGTGCAGCTGCTCACCTCTGAATCCGTTGGCCGGTCCCCTGTAACCGTTCATGAGCCCCCGGGCCCCGCGAGATCCCCCACGGGACACCCCTCGGCTGTTGTAGTAAGGCTGGCTGTTCCTGGGAAACCCAGTGTTCTGCTGGGGAGGTTGCTGGTGGTTGCCTGCCACCTGGTGAGTCTGGTCTGGGGACCCATGGTAAGTACCAACCACTGCAGTGCAATGGGAGGGAAAAAAAAGTAGCATTAAGTCTGTACTTCTTTATGTTCCCACATTACTCCCTTCACACTCAATATTCAGTTAGAGAGGAAAAGGATCTGGCTCTTCTTTACTCAATACCCAGTATTATTACCACTTCACCCTTGTTAACTCTGTCTGTCTCTGCATCTGCAACTTTCATCTCAGTGGACTCTGGATATAGACTTGATTTTTTCAAGATGCTACCCTGGAAAGCATTTTGCCTGCTGAATTCAAACCCTGTCTCACTGATTTCACCAGAAGGTTCTGGCCCTTTGAAAACCTTACATCATCTGTGAGAAGCAGCCCACATTTGCTCTCACTTCTGCCTTACTATTCTATCTCCTGTATAAAATGCCACCTCAAATAGCATAGTTTTTTTAAAAGCAAGTTTAAGGATCTTCCAACCTTGTACTCCGCTCTACTGCTTCCACTTTAGAATAATCATCTTCATGCTTTTTTTAAACCCAGAGAAAACCCAATCAAATGGCAAAATTCTTTTAACAGCTGGAAGTAAGATATACTGAATTTCACACTCTGTTGGATATTCAAGCTGAGACAGAGTAACAAAACTTGGTATTGTCAGGGGAAAGCTTTGCAAGACTAGGAACATTTGAGAACATGTGACATGCTTCGCTCCATCCTCTAGACCTTCACAGCCTGAGCACCTGCTCTACACTGAGGCTGTTGCCATTCTAGCTTTTGCTAAAAGAAGTTTACCTGTCTGGAGTTGTTCTTGCTGAAGATCTGATTGTTCTACTTGGTGAGGTTGACTGGAGAAACTCTGGTTGTAACTGGCCTGGTACTGATTTTGCTGCTTAAGGGTTTCTGGCTCATTAACAGGAGGAACAGGTGCATTCATGTTGAATACCTGTAATGGCAGAAAAATGGTTCTCTGGTCCAATTAATCTTTACAACTTTTCACATAAAGTATCAAAGTCTAAGAGATGTGAATAACCAGACTATTCTATGCAGCTACATGACTGATTCCAACAGAATGAATGACCACCAAAACAGAAGAATTAATTATTTGATTTAGTTTACATTATTTTCTCTTTTTATTTATTATTATTATTTACTTACTGTTTGCATGGATTGGAATGGAGCTGCATTGACATTGATTCCGCTGCTATGCAAAGGCTTGCTGGATCCAGCCTGGAACACCTGGGGCTGGGATGCAGTGGGAAGTGATGATGAGGATGGGGTCTGGTCTGCATTCAGTGACATTGAAGCCTAAGAATGAAAAGAAAACAACATTTTAGCAGCTTTTGAGATAACAAAAAAAAGTGGCAATGCCTGAGCTTCAGCTCTACAAATGACTATTTTCTACTTCAGCTCAACAGCATCATTTGCAACAGCACAATAAGAGAGGAAAAACCTTGCAGCCTTCTCCCTTGTTGACTTGAAACACAACTAGAAAAACTTAAGAAAGGAAATGTATTTCCTGGGCTAACTGCTGGCCAATGTAAAAAGCAATTCACATTTCCTAAGCCATCATCAACACCGACACTCACAAACTAATGCTGGCACACTGAATGTAACTAAACAATCAATCTTGCAAATTAAGCCTTACTATGAAGGACTTACCGGTCACAGACAGGCTCAACATTCTGAAATTGAAGGGAACTGGAGCAGCCCTACTAACAGGCAACTAAAACTACCACTTTTTACAAGGAAACATAGACTAAGATTGATATCTGCCAGGAGAGTCCTTCCCACCCCTCTGACACCTGACTTGCCTGAATCTGGTCAATTGATTCTTTCTGTGGTCGTTGCTGTGCTGTGTGATAAGGCTGATACATGTGTTGGGAGGCTGTATATCCCTCACTTGTAGAAGAAATCAAGGGAACCTGACAAAATAAACCCCAAAGTCCCCAAAAGTCAGCTGATGCTCACCCACAGTTTTATAGAAAGTATCTGACAACCCCCAGCATGGGTGGTACTCTTTAGTCCAAGTCTGTAGAGCTCTGTTTAACCAGCAGAATTAAACCACCTCATCTTGACCAACATTCTAATATGAGCTCATATAGAAGTGGACAAGTGCTGGTTTCCCATGGATTGAATCTGCTCAGTCCTCTGCTCCTTTAAGAGTCCAGTGAAAACTCCAGCCAGCAAAGCAGAGGACTTTGCATTTAAGGGCATGGGGATTTCAAGAGGAAAATGATAAAACTGATGGGGGTGTTCACATCATGTTGGAATGTTCAGAAGGAAAGACTAAGTTTAGCTACTGCTTGTAAGATCCTCAAGAGAATCACTGGCAGCACTGGCTGAGACAAGGAAAATAAATTTAAAAAAAAATCCCACTGGATTAACTCACAGATATCACTTAAAAGTAAAATAAAAGCCAGTGCAGAGAAAACCCTCTGCCAAAAGAAATTATTCTACGCCTACAAAACAACAAAAGGGGAGAGCACCAACACTTCAGGAGGTACTTACAGAGGAAACTCATGAAAAAACCCTCACTCCTGTTCCTGTATGAATGAGTGACTTAAACCTTGCAGCTCTATCTGGACAGGACAAAGCAGGCAATTTATACTGCCAGTATTATGAGATACATAAGCTATCCAGATTTTTTCTTTGGCTTTCAAATACCTACAGGGATCACACCCATTCCTCAGAGATGCCACATGGCTTAACACAAAATTAGGAAGTTCTTTAATCACTAGACAACTCAGTAAGAAACTGAAGCATCTTCACAAGAAGGGGACCATTTATACAGTACAGAATCAAGTTAAAGAGGTCCTACTTAAAGCTCAACTGAAAATACCATTCAACTCAGTATACAACTCCAGTATAAAACACAGCCCAAAAAGTAACTGGGAATAATCCTTAACAGAATAAGTGAATAAAACAGAACAGTTAATCCTTTAAATCTATTCCTGCTGACACTCACTTGAACAGACACGGGCTGCCCTTTAACTAAGTTATTTTGGTTTTGGCCTTTCTGTTGCAAATACATAAAGGACTACCTGCTCCTAGCTAAATTACAAGTATTACTACACATGACTTAACTTAAGGGAACACTACTAGGCAAAGGTAAGACTCCATTACTGAGAATCTGCAATGTCTGCAGAGCACAGAATCTGTACCTAGTAATGCTTCTTAGCAACAATGCTGAAGAAATAATGGAGATAACCATTTCCCCAAATTAGAACTTTTACTTTGAGTTTCTCATACAGTTCGGAATTAAATCCTTTTGTAACAGTAACCAGGCTGAATATAAAGCTCAAATCCAAAATAAAGTGTACTAAACATTTTACCTGTGTAGCTTCTGGTTGCACAGGAACTTGAGTAGGCTGGGCAAGTCTCGACTCAGCATGAACTGAAAGAAAATAACTTCACTTACTATACAATCAAACCTTTTACAGAACAGCATTACTATCATATCTGCTTCAGTTATCTGAAAGCCAATCATCATAAGATGATGAAGCCTTTAGCATGCCAAAGCTATACTCAAATTACCAACTCCATGCAAAGAACATTTTTTCTAGTTGTCCAAAATAATCCAAAGCAAAATTGTACTTTGCTCATTCAAAAAAAAAATGTTTCAGATGTTCCACATTTCTAAGCAAAACCTATAAGCAAGTGAGAATTGGAAGACTAAAACTAGTATACCTTTCTGAGAAAAACACACTTGACCAGGATTGTACCATTACTTGTGGTGATCCTTTTACTCTGCAGCAGTAACTGAAGCATTTTTAACAGATGACTCGCAGGCTTCCCCAATATTTATGTTTAGGATTTACCATTACAAACCTGGAGGGCAAACCATTTGTGGCATGTCCAAACTCTGTGCTGGGTTCATGGGCTGTGCAGATACAATGGCAGGATCAAGTGTTTGGTTCTCAAATTCCAGCATGGAGTCCTGAAGGGAAGAAATTAAAAAGCAATTAAAAAAAAATCAAATCCAATTTACTGTCTGTTAAAAATACGAGCACTCAGAACAGAGAAATACCTGCATGAAGTTGTAGGGGCCCTGCATCTGGGCCATGAGGTCCTGTACTCGCTGTCTTCTCACCAGAGGATCTGCCTGAGCCACAGTGGGAAGCGTGTGAGGTTCAGGAACAGGAGGAGATGTCGCTTGTGTCTGTTGCTGCAGCGAATTTACGACCTAACAAGAGACAAGCAACCAACTCAAATTTCAGCTCCAGTCAACACAAAAGTGACTTGGTAGTTCTTGGAATTTATGGCTATTGCCTAACTCATTATGGATGGAATTACTGTAGTGATGTTGAAGAAAAGTACTACATCCTACAGTCATGCCAGTATCAGTGGCAGCTACTGATCTCAGCAGTCACAGGATTATAGTGCTCTGTTTTCTCTCCATCTACTCTTTTCCTCATTAATAAAATGTTTGTTCAATACTAGGGGGATTTTTTATAGCAGGATTTGAGACAGCAATTTATCAGCATTTGGAAATTTAAAGAAAGGTGGGGAGGAAAAAAGCTTCAGAAATATGCACAAATGGGGAACAATGATTTTTAGTAAGTGCAAGTGGAGCCAGAATTTTTGGGTCTTTTTTAAGACTTCAAAATGGTCAATTTTCATAGCCACTTTTATCCTAGCAAACTGATTTACTGTCTCAGGGAACAGCAGGCAGCACTGCATGACAAAGATTGCAAGGCAGCACCATGGGGGGACACCAGAAGCCCAGAAGCAGAAGCACAACTCACAGTGGGCAGGAAAGCTCAGATTTACCAGACAGATTCCAATATGGCAACACATCAAATGTGCAACAAATACCACCTTATCAGAGACAGCAGAGCCACCAGGAAAGCTGGACATGAGCAGCTGAGAACATCCATCATCAAAGAGTTTGAAAACAAACAGCAACAAGGACAGTTGAGCTGCACAAAGGAGCACTTGGATGTCCCTAAACCAGTTTTGCTTTGAGCAGCTCACAGAATACAGAAGTGCCCTTTTCATGTCAACAAATGTCCTTTAACAACACCATTGTCAATAACTTGTCTATCACTTCTCTATTCCCATGAGCTTCTAATATTAATAATCTTCCAGATAAACAGGAATGCCTTAAACTTACAGTTGCACAGGATATAAATTAGGATACATGCACCTGAAAGTTCAAAATATTTATGTGAAATACTTGATTTCTCATTAGAACTGCAGGAGACAGACTTTTGTACAGCAGTTGGGACACATGACAAACCAGTCCTATTATCACAGGTCTGAACTTTAAACTTCAAATTGTCACTAAAGCCTGTGCATTTTTTTATTTAGATTTCTCAAAGAAACACACAGCATCTTCCAGTATTCCTACTTCTTGCTCACACTTCCAAACCTTTTTTAGATATGACATTCTGCACATGCAATTGCCTCAGCTCCAGTGACTTGATCCCTGACCAAATCCCTAGCCATCTGTAACAGAAAATATCAACAAAACTAAAAACTAACCACAACCTATAGTCCCTTTTCAAGATTCCCTTCAGATCCAAATCACTGCTATTAGCATCCACAGAGAAGCAATTTGATAAATCCCATGTAAGTACCAAGCACAACTGCTCTGGTCTATCACACAGTCCCCAAGTTTCACAATCTTAACTGTTTCCAAGTAAAGAAATAAAAAATTATCTGAAAATGTTATTCAGATCACATATAGAGACCTTTGGCACATTACAGAGTTTGAAAGTCAAAGAAAAAACACAAGCCAGATCACTGGGTGAAACTTGAAACCATCAGATACTTGTCTCCTGCAAAATTATTACCAAAAATACTCTCGATTATTTAAGCACTATCATTAAACTTATGAAGTCCAAGTCATTCATAACAATCCAGTATCTTCAGGACAAAAATACAAGCTGATGGAATCGTCAACAACACACAACAGGGACAAAATGTTATCATTTTCCTTTTTCACCAATAGTACAGTACGAACTTCAGATGGTGCTTCAGATTCTAGATCATCTTTTTCATCACTCCTCTTTTAATGTCAAGAGGAATCGTTTAGGGCCTATTCCTTTAGTCTTATCAGCACTACCAGGTACTTTGACCGAGTACAATCATAGTAGGATGAGACTGCTAAATAAATTTCAAGATGAGTGTGTTCAGTTGCCAATGGACAGGACAGTTCTAAATTTAACAGCTTTCTAACAGTGCTGCATGAAAAGGTACAGAGATTACTCAAATAAAAGGATCATTACTCAAAAATCAAATTATTCCTGACCATGCATGTCCATTGATCCTGGGGACAGGGCAGCACAGCACAACTTTATTTCAGGAGAGCTGAACCTGTTAGCAGAATAATATTTGACTCAAACTGTAGGCTCCCCTCTGACACCCTGCCCTTGACACTGGCAGCAGAAAGAGCTGCCAGACACAATCAGGAGACTGACAGGGGGAAAGGGAAAACCAGAAGCTTAATGAGACCACAGACCAACCAGAATGAACTCGTATTCTGGCAGTCTGAGAACAGGTTCCAATTTGACAAAAAATCCATCCAACCAACACTCCATAATTTAAGACAGAGAATTTTGCATACAAACAGATTCAGGTTATTCCTTTTTACAAAGAAAGCACTTAAAAAAAAATCAATTAGAAGCCCACCAAACAACAACACAGAACCCCATAAATACTATTACCAGTAAAGGACATATTCACCAAAATGAGAACATCATATAATCCAAATACACTTGGAAAATTCACAAGCAAATTCTTTAATTCAAAACTTCAGAAGGCCAATACAAAAAATGTCCTGTGAGACACCATCACTTCTCAAACTACAAACATACCACAGAAATCGTGACTGTATCCCATCTACTGAAAAAGAGATGAGTTTATGATATCCTTCCTCCTCAGGAACAACTATGGAGATTTTCTGAGCAAATGTTCTCTTTCAGCTTCCAAAATTCCCAGCTATCACTCTATTAATGCCACAACCATCTTGAGCTGAAGAGCACAAAAGCTCTGTACATTGTGCACCATGAGCTTCCCTAAGGACAAGTCAGTTGAATTCCCATGAGAAATGGGACTGTGATGCCAGTAAGGGCAGTAAAACCAATGTCAAAGAGAGATATTCTCAATTTCCCCATTTATGTTACATCTGAGAAAATAAGGTTCTTAATTACAAAGAAACAGCCTTCAACTCTCCATTTCTTACATGATTCCTTTTTACAATGTCCAAGATACTGGGACAGAAAGGACAACCTCAGTGTATATTCTCTGTATTGTTCTATGAAAACAAAGCTCAGACCGCAGACTTAGCAGACTAGTAAAGACGCATGAAAAATGAGGAGCTTCTGAAATCTGAGATACAAATTTACAACCTGAATTGTGTCTTCATCCATAGCATTAAGAACTACAGAGAACTGAACCACTCTGGACACTTGGTGTAAACACAAATATACTGTGGGTGTAATTCAAGTTAGATTGAAGCCAATCAATTAATAATTTTAAAATGCTGGGCCTTTTAAGAATATTTCAATTGAGCATGACTTTTATGTGTGGCTTGGAGGGTTTCTTCAGTTTTTTAAAAAGACCTCTTAAAACACATTCAATAGCAGCGATATTTTTGGTTTAAGTAAGGGAATGGAATACTATGACAATAAACTACCAAACATTCACATCCATGGCAAAGTTGTCTGGTTAGTTCTAGAAACCCCACACCCATCCTTAGTTAAATCTTTCAGTGGTCTTGAACACCCTAAGATACAAATTTCTGCCCAACTCCATGTAAAATCAGGCAGGATCAAAATGGCTGCTCTCTTTTTCACCACAAGATGCTGAACACTTACTCCACTCCTACACTTAAAACAGCCTGAAGACACCAAGGAAGAGTCTAAAAAATTGACAATCTGGACTTTGCTGGTAAAGTGAATGAAAAAATGAAATTTCCAGCACCTGAAAGGTGCTGCTCATACTTGTTTCTAACAGATGGACACAAATCAAATTCCAACATATTAAACATTTGAATGACTCCATGGGACTTGTCCTTTACAGCACATGAAGAACATAAATTCTAGAGCATAAATCACTAAACTGGGAATGGATCCCAAACCCAGTGTGCCACAAACACCATAAGTGAACAATCACTCAACTGCAAAGAAGTAACAAGTGAAATACTTGAGGAACTGTAGTTCTTGGAAACAGAGACGACATACAAGCATATTTTAACATAAAATTATGCACATAAGCAACCCGAAGGAGGTTATTAGTTGAGTTACTAATTTCAGCTCCCTCTCCATGGACCTGCTCAATGAAAGCACAACTATGCCATGCTGTCAGCAGCTGGGCAGATAAACCTGAAGTTCTGTATTAGCAGCTAAGTTCTCCTAAAAAAAAAGGCTTCAAAAAACTATTTCAAGTATTTTTTTTATGCCCAAGACTTTTAAGTCCTGTTTTCCCAAGTAAGCCACTAATGAACAAAAGCAAGTTCTCTGTAAACTTAGCCAGACTGCATGAGTTTTATTTCTTTTTATTTTAGTTACTCCTGAGCTAACTATGTAATTAAAGAATGAGTGGTGAGTCCAAGCCTACTTAAATATATGTATTTTTTTTATATATTGGGGGAGAAGGGATGCAATACTAAAACCTCTCATGAATTGTGAGCCAGCAGAAACAGGGATTGCAATTTTACCTGCAGTACACAAGATCTTACCTCAACCGTTTCAACTGTCCACTCATCTACCTGTTCCTTCTCACTACTGCTGAACTGAGCCTCTGCCATGAATTGTCTGTTTACATACTAAAATAAAAATAAGAAAGGGTATGAAAGTAAAAGTAAGTGGCATTAAAGGTATACAAAATGACAATCTTTCCAGTGAATAATACCTCAGTTGATTCAACTTCAGTTGGTTCAGTAAATTCTTCTGCTGCATCAGGTTCTGTAAGAAAAAGAAATACATAATTTATGTGGGAAAAAACCACCTTGTATGAGAAAAATCAAACAAGAAAACCAAGCAAAAGACCCAAAGAGAAGACCCCCCCCAAAAAAAAACCAAACCCAAACAAAAAAAAAAAAAAAACACAACCCCAACAAACCACAACACAATCCCACAAAAACAAACAGAAAACCCCACCACCCACATATGTTACAGATCAAGAAGATACAAAATTAGATGAAAAATGCTCTTCTTGTATCTAAGAATGAAGAGAAAATGTCAGGGGCAATAACAGAGAACTAGTAATAAAAAAATAACCTCCAAGTTTTGAATTAGCAAGAAAAAACCCCACATTAAATTCCTGCTGGGGAGAGTCATGTTCAGCTACCCCAAGCTTCTATTTTCTCCATATTCAAAAAGGAAAGAAGTAATGATTTTTTCTTAAAATTGGATACAATATTCCCAAGTTTAAGTGTGTAAGCTTAAGACTTTGCTTCAAAACTGTTCCCTCGTAACAAAGGATTAAACTGGTGGGAATGACCGAAAAATGGGAAAGCCTCAGGCAGGTAGAACTTTAATTTGCAATGTAATCATTGTGAGGAACCCAGAGACAAGCCAGTACAACACAAACACCTCACTCCCAGGCATCCTGAGGTTCTTACCAGCCTCTGCCACAGTGTCTTCTACTGCAGGGGCAGGTGCTGCCTCCTCCTCCTCACACAGCCCATTCTGGTGGTTGTGGGTGCTGTCGAAGTAACTGGTCTGAAGGATCCGTTCAACCACCTCCTTCAGGGCTTTGTCTAGGAAAGTGCAAGTGAAAGATTAACACTAACCCAAGCCTAATCATCTCTGCCTTCCTTCCCTAAGATCACAGAAATTTTACTACCCTTTTGCTGGGGAGATGTTGCTGTCCCAAGCTAATGCACGACCACTATTGTTACAGGACTTCTTACTAGGTTACATTAAATAAATCAATAAATAACCCACTTTCTTAAGGGCAAGAATAACCTTAAGAGCACATAATACTCCTCAGAAGATTTGTGAAACACTTCGAAGTGTTGTTGTGTTGGTTTTTTTTATTTTATTCCTGCTATTAAAAAAATCATCTCTGGTTGCTTAGTTTTCAGTTTGGAAAGTTTTCAAAACTCACTGAACTTTCAACTGTCTCAGACTTGTTTGTAATTTCCTCATTAAAAAAAACATTACTGTAAAACAATTTCTTACAAAACAAATTTACACGGGTACCACCTTTGTGAAGGTTCTTCCTCTGTGGTGAAGTGGCTCAAATCAGCCTTTGAAAACAAAACCACTTTCATTCAATGCCTTAGATGAGTGGTTGGGCATCTTAACCCAAAAGAAATCAGCCACACTGGCAAGGCAGCATTACTGGAGATTACTGTGGAGATTTTTATTTCTGCAAAAAAGCAGACTACTGGCATGATCATACCCTGGTCTGCAGAGTTCATCAATGAAAATATGGCAAAACCAGAACGCTTTCTGCAGGAGCAAGGGAGAGAGAACATCCCACTAATGAAGGCCATTAAAGTTTATGTATTAGATGTTATTGAAAAGCTCCTTGTTCTCACACAGGTTTCCAGAAAACAAAGAATTGCTACTAAGCACCACCAGCAGCAGAATACTGCTGAAACAGCAGGTTAAATACTGAGTAATGCTGTGTCAGTATGAAAAAAATACACTACACAGGGAGCCCACACTTCAGAAGTTATTGTTAGTCCAGCCAAGATCTGAAAAAAAAGCAGTTACTCTAAAAACTCAAAGATAAGTAGATGTCTAAGTTCTCTTATATCAGAAGTGTATTGTAATTCAAGCACAAATTCAGTGTGCTGTCTCTCTTCATACTGAGGCTACACTTACAGGTTGTTCCACAAACTGGTTTTTCTTTCCCTTCCAGTAAGTCCCACAGGTGAACAGATGCTTGCTCATACTGCTCATTCAACCTTAAAAAATAATTAGTAAGAGTTAATTTCTTACCAAATCTTTCAATACTACAGTAAATACATGAGGTGACTGACAATTAGAAAGAAAAGCTCTTTGCTGTAACCCTACCTCACGTTCATGTCTCGTTCAGGGTAAACCAGCTTGTAGAACTCATCCAGCATCGTGAGCTCCTCCTCTGTCAGCACTGGGACCCCACTGGAGCCTTGTTTCAAGTCGCTGCGAACTTCATCGTCCCCCAGCTTCTCCAGAATGAACTGCAGCTCCAGCACAGTCTTTAAACGCTTCTGCTCAGCCTCCTCCCGCATCAGCTGCTCCCTGCGAGCTGTCTTCTTTATTGTCTTCTGGATCTGAGGGATCCCAAGGGAAAAACAGATTGGAAATGGCTTTTATTGCTAAGAAAAGGTACAGAGATATTCACCGTATCCCATGATAGGAGGAGGGATTCATTGGAACTACCAGGAGAGCAGCTTAAAACAGAGAAACAAAAGTATTCTTCGTTTTTTCGTGTACCACAGGAGGGAACTCATGGAATGTTTTGCCATGAAAGGCTGGGGAGATAGATGGGATCAGCCAGTTCAAAAAGGGTTTAAAGGAATTCTTGGACATGTGGTCCCCAGTCAGACACTACAGGGAACAAATCTGCATCTACCCTGGCATTCTCACAGATGCTGGAAGGGAGTGGATGATAATCATCAACCTTGTGCTCTGCACTTAACCTTCTAAACCTGCAGTCACAACACAGGTCTTAAATGCAACATTAGTCTGAACCTACAGGATGTTTCCTCTATTCTTAATCTAAGTATCCCAAATTCAGCTTGTTTCCTTTTTTGTTTAAATCTTCTCTTTCCAAAAATTTAACTTGTGACAGTAACTTTCTCTCTTCGAAACATCTAAATTTCTTTTTTTAACATCAGAGACATATCTTAAAATCAACTGCATGAGAACTAACTATAATCAGGAAAAACTGCAACCAAGTTTGAAAGCTGAGCACCAATTTGGGTTCACTGACTGCTGTCAGCTGACCAGGGAAATACCTCAGGACAAACTTGTCCAGAAAAGACAAGTTCTCCATTACTAACATTCCATAAACATAGATGGAACCCTGATGCAACAAAAGCCAAGGAACAGCTTGGCTTAGAGTCCTACAAATTTACAGCCAGAACGAATGGAGAAAGCTGTTTGTAACACGCGGATGTTGATGCCCTTCAAATTATCACATAGTCTGTTCACAAACTAAATACACTCATTAGACCAGTCTGCTGCACTAACACCCACTGCACAACCAATTCCTCCAGCGTTGCTGCTCTTTCCATAACTTTTTAGAACTGAATTCTTGATCACACCTATTCTGTATCCTTGATGAAACACCGACCCAAAAGATGACTCGTTTTACTACTGTTCAGTTCATTTATCCTTTATGAAAATAAGATTAGTCTTGTCTCAGACTATAGTTTCAGACTATTTGCAACTAACAAGACAGGAAGAATCTTTTAAAAAAGGAAATGCAATGCTTTCAAGTGCTGAGACTATACCACGTGGTAAATCAAGAAATGAAAGCCCTCAGTCACCTGGCAGAGTCAGAAGCAGGCCTGTGAAATCCTTTCTTTAAGAAAACTGGCAGCAAGTGACCACCTATAACATTGCATGACAGGCCTGTTCTGTGATCCCACTGTTTTCAACACTTATTTTTCTGTCAGAAAATTATGTCATTATTCTTGTTTCCATACATTTATGTAGTGCATTAGGAAAATCTTTTAGAAATCGTCTTCAGAAAACCTGACACCAACTAATATACAGAATAAAAGAGTCAAACATACAAGAAACCATGACCAATTAATCTCTGTAAACAGAGGTGACTACTGACTGCACCAGTGAAAAGGAGTTTAAAGCCCAAAGGTTTGGAAAACAAACATGGCATGGCTTGATCTTTACTTACATCTTGGCTCAGAGCCATGAAACTCCTCTGCAGTTCTTTAGCAAATTCCAGATTATTTGTCACTTCCTGGTATTTTGACACTGCATCCTTAAAAAAAACCCAGAGAAAACCACAAGTAAATGTAAATCATCACAAATAGAAAAAAACCCCCCCAGACTTTTAACAAATGAATCCCCACATTTTTACTTTCTAAGTGAGACACAGCATCCCTGAATGGGACTGCAACTATGGTAAGTAAAATTTTGATTTTCCTGGGCTTTCTCAAGTCTGGCAGTCAAGATATTGCCCTCCTAAAACTTAATCATGACCATCCCTCCTCAACATGACACGTCAGTTCTCTGCCCTGCTCCTCAAACAGCAACCTTTATCTTCACAAGATGCCATTACAAAATAAAAATACACAGATATTTCAGTTTTCAGCTGGCACAGAAGGGCCCAAGTGAGGAAGCCCTGGCAGATGAACAAGAGCACATGGACCAATGGAAGTAGCTCATAATCTTTTAAGTGTCAACAGCTGCAATAGCTGCAAGTACCTTTTTTTTGCTTCACTTTCTCAGTGTTAAAAATCATCAAGAAAACACTTGATTACTGAGCATCTGGTAATCTCGAGTATCAATATGCATGTTTGCATCACACAACTGAATTTAAATTCTTATTTGTTCTGTATTTACAACAACTGCAAAACTGCTGTTGAATTGAGCTCTCCGAAAACCTACTTTAAGAACCAGCCCCAACAAGAAGAGAAGCAGCACAGAGCTCATCTAGAGCTCCACATCTGCACTGAGAGCTGGGACAGACACACAGACAGAGCTTATTATTGGTCTGAGCTGCATCTCTAACTAAACTACACAGGGGAAGTGAAATCCATCCCTTCCCTCCCATGCAAGAACACAGAACAATTTAACAGAAATCTAGATAGTATTTTTTTGTTGTTTTTACCAGTTGATCTTGATTCAGACGTTCTCCCTTGTTCATTCGTTCCTGGTAATCATCAAGTTTGCTCTGAAAAGCAAGAAAAACACTGTTATGAAGAGTCTAAATCCAGTTACTGCCTTTTTCTACTTGTGCCAACAGAATTATGTACTGTAATATTCCAGTAAACAGAGTAATACCTAACACAAGCATGAAACTGTCATGTAAAAAGACCGCCCAGAAAAACTGTCTTCTGGGTTAACAAAATGTAAATACTTCCTAAGGGATAAATATTTTAACCTTTATTTGGTTATTACAGTATGTCTTCATGACTAGAGTGAATCTCTAAGGAAATACACGTTCCTGCCAAAGGGAACACCACTCTCATACACGTTTCCTTCAGTCTAAACATCAGAGAGCTGAACTGAGGTCTGAGTTAGAGCTCATTACCACTGTATCTCTACACCACCAAAAACACGACTGCAAACCTCCACTGTCAACTCTATTAGGATTCAGAACTGTAATTCTCTGTAGTTGCATCAGTTAAAAGAGCTGTTAAGAATTCAAAATAGTTTCTGATCCTCTGTGAAGAATGCCCACCAACACAATTCATATTAATAGCTCTAAAACAGTTTCCTTCAAGAGCATTAAGGATTTTTTTTTTCTTCATGGGAAGAAACTGAAAAAGGAATCATTAGGCTAATTTTCAGCAGATCTAATCTGCTTAAATAGAAACTCATGTAGAACACTGACACGACCAAAAAAGCAGGTAAAACTCCTGCATGCCCAACACAGAGACTCTATAGGCTAAGGAGAAGGGTCTTCAAAAGGAAGTAAAGTCTATAAGAAGGACATACCTAATTACTAACCTGTTTTCATCATTTCTCTATTATCACACGATTGTATTTTGCATGAAATTTGCCTTGATCTAATAAAAAAGTTATTAAAATGAATCCTTAACTATTATCTTCCCAATCTAGCATAACATGAAAAGTGAGAGGAACACCTAATTTTTGATGTGAAAGAATCAAACCCCTGATGCAACCACTGCTTTAGGGTTTATATTTCCCACTGAGTGACTTTTTTTTTTTGGTTGCTTTTGGCCTTTGTTTCATTTTACTGATAATTTTTTAGTTATTTCAACTTTTATGCTCAATCTCAGATCTTACAGAAAGCTCAAAGTCTGTCAAAGTTTACCAGAAAAGCCCCTCTTATAAGGTATTTGATGCCCAGCATCACTTGCTGAACCACAAGCACCCTTATGAGACTCAGGCCTTTTGATGTCATCTAATGCCCAGTTTATTTCTTTGGAAGTCCTACAGGTCAGATACAAAATTTAACTTCTTCATCTGATAGATGAAAGGCAAAGTCAAAGGAAGAACTTCCTGAGCTTCAAAAATATATTACTGGGAATTTCCTGCTGGGGACAGACACTACATGGTAACAGTTTTTAAAGACAGCAGCCACAGTTCAAAACACACCAAAAAAGTAGCCCTGAAGAGCATTTGCCACATTGCAGATCTCCCACAACAGGAAGTAAGGTTAGTTTACTCCTCTCCACACTGATTTTAGAACAGATGCTGACATGGTTGGGCAATCACAGAACAGTTCTCATCATTTTCTGAGTGTGGCTGAACTGTGAAGCCAGAAGGGAGGGGAAAAGAGCTCCAGAGCAAAGCCAGGCTTACCCAGACCTTCCCTGCCTAAGGGGGCTTAAATCCTACAAAAACTGGCTTGCACGCAAGGAAATGTTAAACTAAGCTCCTACTCGCTCGAGTCCCTGACTCCCCTGCTGCAGATCACAATTCCCTTGGTCACACTGATGCAATTGTTTGGGAGGCTGCACAGTAAACACACTGCAAGCACCAGTTTAAACAAGGTCTACAAAAATGCATTAAACAACCCCAACAAATTCTGTGAGCCAGTCTGCAACACAAACCCATAAACAACAGTAAAACAAATAGGGTAGAATATCATATTCCAGAACACTACTTTGTTCGACAAAACATATATTGCAAAGCACTCACATAATCCATTCTGGTGGCCAAGGGCACGAGGGTGGGAAGAGACAAAAACCTCCTAAATAATTACAATTCCTGTACACTTTTTCCATGCTGCTGCATTTCAGCGTAGCTGGTGTTTTCAGATTAAGATATTGCAGTAACATGTTTAACAATGCACAAGGTTTTCTTAAATGGTCAATTATTTAGAAATCTAATGTAAATGCTTTGCTCAGTTTTATTTGAGTAAAAAACAAAGGGATAGAAGAAAAGTTACTTGTCTTCACTTGTTCTTCATTAAAAACATTCAAATGGGAAGGTAAAAGCAGAGGAAGGAAAGCCTTGTCAGCTGCAATGCAGAGGACAAGCAAATGTGCATTTAGTTGGACATTATCACAAAGATTTCGAATGCCAAGTAAGCATTTTCCTATCATCCCAAACACACTCTGAGATCCAAAGGCTGCATTACACACAAATATTAAGTAAAATGCCTCCTTTTTATCTCTACCAGCAACCTAAGAGCAGCATTAGTGCTGTAAAATAACTGCAGTAAAATTCCTGCTTAGCAACCTACTGCAGTGCCTGCAAGAGGGGAAGATTTTCCTGATTTTACCCCCTTACAGAACCTCACCCTCACTCATCAGATAGAGATCTCCAAGCATAAAAGCTAAACCAGCAGAAAAAAATAATAATCCAGTGGCAAAGTGAGCACATAAATTGTGTATTGAACAGCTCATGAGTCAGCAGCTCCCAGTTGTACAGGAAGCAAACCACCCTGCTCCAGCTTTTTCCACTGAGAAACCTCAAGTATTCTGGAGTTTCCTGGGAGAAAAGCACTACAAACAGGCTCCCAGGGGCAGGGGGAAGGTGCTGGTGTTCCTTGCTTAACTATGCCCTGGATTTTACTTGAATAGGAATCCAAAATTCAGTTACTTATTGTGGCAACAGACACCTTCTCCTCACACCCAAGTTCTCTTGACCTCCTCTGAATTGCCTCAAAAATGTCATCCTGAAGTGAAAACAAAAAAATGCAGTCCCATAACATTACCTTCCAAACCAACTGTGGTTTTAAAAATGCCTGATCACTCAGCCGTGCTTGTACAGTCATTTACAGTGCTGTGCTCTAAACTGGATCACTGGAATCATCAGATTAAAAATAACCCTCAAAAAAGGGGGTCAGGAGCAGGAGGGAGGCTCTATATTTAACCAGATAATTTCAGTGATATGGTTATAGCAATGACAGCAGCACAAGTGTGTGTGACAAGGTGCTAGGGGACAAGGTAACCTCTTCAACCAGCTGGAGTGACCCTTTTGTAACGCAAAGTTCACTACAAGCAAAGAAAAGATGAAGGGGACATTGCAAGCCTGTTTTCTGAGATATCTCAAAACCTGCATGGATGCTTTTGACAGCACCAAGCAATGAAGATAATCCAAAATTTAAATTAGCTGTGTAATACATTTTGCACTGAAGCAAAAGAAAAGCCAAGTTACAAACCAGAAGTTTATTAACCTGTTTTACATCTGTACATTGTAATTTCTCTGCCTCCACCATCACCTTCACTCATTCATCTGTTTAACTTTGCAGCAAAAACTACCCAGAAACGACCAAGTGAAACCCCAAAACCAAATCAGTCTTCCCATTGCCTCAAAAAATAGGCAGGGGAAAAAAATCAAAAAGGTAAAACACTTAAATCATATCAGTTTAATTAAACATGAAGTTGAGAACCTCTCAAAACCCACCACAGTTCTCACACTCACTGTCTGGATACAATTTCTAATTATATATACACACACACACCCCAACAAGTCCTGAGAAGCTGTTTCAGTCCTGAGTTACAACCAAGATGTAAGGATAAAAAACCACCAGTACTCCAGAACACAAAACATTTACAGGTCTCCTGGTTAAACTGAATTTATTTTTGAAATAACAGCTGTAGATGCTCTTATGTTTTTTTTTCCCCAAAGTCTGGTAAGTTTGACAGCTGAGGAAAAAATACCTCCACACTGTATTAGTTTGAGACTGCAGTTTCATGAGCAGCTTACCCCGGAGGAAAAAAAAAAGCTTTCTCAGTTACCAGAATTAAATCAGAGGAGTGGAACTCCAAGTTTTGATATTCTTTCCAAACAACCATCACACTGCATTTCCTACAGAAACTAGGAATCTACAGGGAAGTTGACTACACTGCAAGAGACCTGGATTTTGCTCTAAGCATTATTTATGTTCAAAATAAATTGCTTTTACAACAGGAAGTGAGTTCTAGAACACAAACAGGGCTCTAGAACACAAATGAGGCTCTCCCAACACATTGTGTGTCTTTTTCTTCTGAAAGAAAAAGCATCAACAAAACATCAAAGCAGCATCTGAAGACCTTTAACCAGAATGTGTTTCACAGCTTGTAGGACTCACCATGTATCCAGTTAACACAAGTTGCTGTGAGACAAGTTAAAAACAAAACAGACCACACTGAAACCTGGAAGCACCAACCACCACATGATTTCACAGATAACCTGCCTGGATTTTCACACATGAAGCTTGATAACCAAAGTTGCTGTCAAGAGAGGTTTCAAAGATACGGGTTTTCAATATATGATTTCAAACAAATTTTACAAATTTGTTTCAGAGTAATATTTAATTTCCAAAGATAAATTCCAAACCAAGCTTCACAAGGAGAGCTTCTGGAGACACTCATGTGCCTGGAACATCCAAGAGGCCCAAACAGTGGTCAAAAGCACTTCAGAAAGTTGCTACCAATGGGCAATTCAAGTGTGGCACTTCCTGCCACCATTAACTGCACCTACAACGGTGGAAAACTGATCCCAGCTTTTACTGGAGGTTGCTGTTTCCCATGGGAAATTCAACATTTTATTGAACCAAGTCAGATCAAGTCAAATATCCTCTGCTGCTACATGAGAATTCCTGCATAGTAACGACAGCAGCACTTGTTAACTCCTCATTTTCCACTCCAGTCCGGGTTACACTCAGTAGGAAATTCAGTCAGGCTGATAAAGCAACAGCAGCTCAAGTTACTAGCCCCAACCAACATGGGCCATCTTTCCAACTTTGTTGAGTTATTAAAGATCATGTGCTTTACCTCATATTTACAGCTGCCCAAGACTAATCTCTTGTGAACACCTGCCCATACCCTAAATCACGTGTTAGCAATAATTGTTTTGCCCATTGAGCAGAACATTTGTTTCATCAACTGTTCTTATACAGATCATGCTGTATGACACAAGGTGAAAGCAAAAATAACTGGTTTGTTTTTTTTTTCATTCATCACTGGAACAAAACCCAAGTTCAACCTACATTCATTTGGCTTGGAATTTGGAAAGTTTTTTCCCTCTAAAACAAAACAAAAAAAAAAGGTGGGAAAAGAAGAAAATAACGCAGGTCTTAATGAAGTATTTTTCTCCTAGGCAGGATTGTAACCTCAGACACCCAACAAACACCGGGAGGAGTTCAGGCAACTTTTAAATTAACTGAGTTTGTCAACATATACTCCAGTTGCAGGTTTGAATCTTCTGTAGAGAAAATATCCCTTTGATTACCCCCTTCCATGCACACACAAATATCCTGTCATCTAAGAAGAGGAAGAACGCAGGAGAGCATTCCTATCATCTCCAAATATAAAGCCGTGAGGGGAACACAGACATTATCAGGCCATGTTTTCACTTCCATTTATGAACAGCAATTCAGTTTACCCTGGTCCCTTTTAATGTAAGCAATACTCATTCTTCAAATGAGGTCACTTTTAGGAAAAGAAAATGAAAGTGTAACTAATAATCTTGTATTTACAGTTTATACAGAAACATTCAAAATAGTATAGAACAAAGCTATAAATATTATTTCACTTTGTGTATTGTATTTTGGTGCTCATGCCATTTTATCCTCAGAGTTTAGAGGGAAACAGGACACTAAATTTAATTCAAAAATTCTATTTTCTTCATAAAGGGTGACCTTTCCTCAACTAAAAGCTACACACTCATATGATCTAAAACGTAAGATGGTCCCTCTTACAGAGCAATCATTTTTCATCCTTCAGAAGGATGGGTCTAACTCAACTACATTTTTGTATTCATTCTCAAACACAAAGCTCTCAAAAATACTCTCTTCTGGCCTTCATTATCAGCTGCTGACAAAGAAAGGATTAAATGTTCACCTAAGCACAAGTTTCAGTGAGATTTACTGGATTTCTCATCTGTGCAGCATCCACTGTAATTTTACTTCCTGAATGGTTAAAAAAATTAATATATACTTGTCCAAAGATTCAAAATAAAGGAAAGCAAATGAATTTGTGTACACTTACCAAGAAGTAAAATAAAAATACTGAGGCCCTCGTGTACAACAGGCGTTGTTTTAAGACACAAAGCCCTCAATACTCTTTAATAAAGAACACTGATTTACTACAGAACTCTTGACTGAGGAATCAAAGTAGAGGCTCAAGCCTGAAAATTTGTAGTTCTATTTAATACATCAAGGACTACTGACTTCTGTAGTGCTTATCTGAGTCCTAACTCAGTAAGTTTCCCAACTTCAGCCCGTTAAGACTTAGGAGTCTTTGAGCTTTAATTCATCCCTGTGAGATCACATCCAGGTTTCCAAGACCCAGCCATTTCCTCCTCTTTAAGCCCACACTGCCTAGCACAGAGTACCCCCAAATTGCCTGAAGTAATTTTAAAGGAATATCTTCCAACAGAAGCTATTTCCAGGAAAAAAGGGCACTTTGTCCCCTTTATTCACTTGCTGTGACACTACATTTGTACTCTGGAAGTTGACTAAAAGTCCACTCAGAAAGGAAGGGTTAAGCCAAGTGTAAATTAGGTGTAAATTATTTATTTTCAAAGGTAAATAAAAAACTGCTCCCAAGGAAAGCTGACCCTCTCACCAATAACACTGGGCTTATCCTCCTGATTACTTCAAAGGACAGAACGTTCACCTACTAATTTCAGTTTTTAAAATACACGTTTTTAGCATTATATAAGACATTTTCAGAGATTTTTGAGCATGTTGGCTGCAACAGTAATTTCAATCCATTTTTTTTTAATTGAAACAATCAGAGACATAAAATATCTGCTCCCTTTCTTGAGCTGAGGACCAGTATTGTGTGCACATATCCACACGTATTAATAATAAGTTTAAAACACAGATGCCGTCCTGTGTACACACAACAGTATTCAGACAAAGATCTAAAGCTCGTCCTACTCCAAAATTTATCTAAGAGTTCCTGGTTTGCTGCTTTTGGTCGTTTCATTATTAAAATGTAGGAAAATCCCCTGCTGATTTTTTTTAACTGGGAAGCTACACTACACGGTGTATTTGTAAGTGTATTATTTATACACAGTATATTATTTACGTACAGTGTATTATTTACAGGTAAAGCACAGTTTGTTTCATTTACAACTCACCTGTACACACTGTTTTACTTCTAATATTCCCCCTCTGAAAATACTTTATATGATGCTAAAAATGTGTATTTGAAAAACTAAAATTTTCAGGTGAACATTCTGACCTGTCCTTGGAAGTAAATCAAGAGGATAAGCACAGTGTTACTGGTGTATCAAGTACTAGTCTGGGCTACTACGACCAAAAGCGCTAGTTAAAAGAAAAAGGGAGAGTTATTTTGCCTGTTTACTTCTAAAGATAAAAATAAAAATAGGGCTATGACACAAATTATTTTTCAGTATGAAATTATTTTCAGACACGAAATCATTTTCCACCCATCCCTAATTTCAGCTTGGCAATGTGGTGTTTCGAGGCGAGTCTTTGAGCTCTGTGTTAGTTATTTTACTGACGGGCAGCTCTGTAGGTTGGAAAGCCCTCAGAGGTTTAACGTGGAGCGCTGGCCCAGTGTAAAACACACCCGACACGTCCAGGACCCCATTCCTAAAAATAAGGCGTTGCAGGCGGGCCGAGGCCGGCGGAGGGCCGGGCTGAGGGCCATGGCGGGGCGGGGTGGGCTGTGAGGGCTTTGTGAGGGCGGCACAATGAGCCGAGCCGGGCAGGCCGGGCCGCCGCCATGTTACAGCTCCGCTCCATGTGCCCGCCCCGGGGCACCGCTCCCGCCGGGTTCATCCATCCCGAGCGCTCCATCCGCCGCACGGAGCCCGGATAAGGGGAGCGGCGCTGGGAAAGGCCCCGCCGCCGGGAACAAAAGGCGGAAGGAGGGGGAAGGGAGCGGCGCCGCTGAGGGGGATCCGGGCGGCGGCGGCGGCGGGGGGGGGGAGGGAGGAAGGCAGCCGCGACTCCTCCGGGCTGTGCCGAGCGGGGCCGGGCCCCGGGGCAGCGGGACCCCCGCGAGGGGAAGGGGACAGGCCAGGGGAACGGCGATCGCCCTTCTGGAACCTTCCAGCGGGCGGCCTCTGGGGGCCACGCCGGGAACAACCCGGGAGAGCTCGGCGGAGGGTCCGGCACAAGGGAACGAAAAGGAAAGGCCGTGGCAGCTCCGGGGCCAGGGGCGGGCAGAACGCTGTGGGGGGAGTCAGAGGGGGACACGGGGGAGCACCTTTTTCTTCTCCAGGTTGCGCAGCTTCTTGTCGATCACCCCCAGGATCTGCTTCATGGCCTCGGTCTGCACCGTAGTGATGTTCACACCCGCCGCCGCCGCCTGCGGGGCCGCCGCCGCCACCGCCGGGGCGGCCTCGCTGCCCGGCGCGGCTTTGCCGGCGCCACCGCCGCTGCCGCCGGTGGTGCTGCTCGCCATGGTGCTGTTGGTAGCCGAGGGCATCTCTGTGAAAGGAGAAACAAGAGGAGCGGAGAGAGAGAGAGCGGCGGGCGCGTCACGGGGAGAGGAGGAGGAGGAAGGGGGGGAAGGAAGAGCGCGGGAGCGCGCGCGCACGCGGCCGCCGGGGGGGGGTCTTGCTCGCGCGCACGAGCCGCACCTGCCCGCCCCCCCGGGGCGCGCGCGGGGCGGCGGCGACCGCGCGACCGCCGCGCGTCCAACGGTCACTTCCCCTCGCGACACCCCCCAACACTCCTCCCGATCCCCGCCCGGAGGGGCCGCAACGCCCTCCCCTCACCCTGAGCGCGACCGAGCCCGCGGGGGGGGGAGGGCACACGCTGCGCTCGCGCTCTCTCTCGCTGTGTTAAGGAATGGCCGCCTCCGCCGCGCTCCGGCCGCGCTGCTCCTGCTACACCGCGGCAGGCAGGGAGAGAGAGAGAGGGAGGAGGGAGGGAAAGAGGCAGCAGCGGCGCGCACGCCGGCGCGGGGAGGCGAGGCGGCGCGGGGAGGCGGGGAGGCGAGGCGGCGCGGGGGCGCGCGGGGACCTTGCCGCCACGCGGGTGCCCGCGGAGAGCGCCTGGGCGGCTCCCCGAGCGGAGGAGGCGCGCCCGGAGGGGTCCTTCAGGCGCGCGGGGGGCGCCCCCGCGCCACACACAATAGGCGGGTTCTTCTCAGATTGCGTCGCGCCTCCCCCGCCGCCTTTTCCAGCAATAAATGTGGCTGCAAAACATATTTTCCGCCCTTCCATGCCCTAGGGCATGTCACTAAACTCATACGGCTGTAATTGGCCCGTAATAACCGCGGTTCAGTCACTGGGAACGGTTGCCTCATTTGCCTTTTGTTCAGGGATTTGCGTTTCCAAATGACTGTCCCTACAATCCCTACAAAACATGTTTGGTTTTAGTTCTACACGTTTCAATGGCACAAAGCACTTGGTAAACCTTTACTTCTATGATAACAATTAATTACTTAAGAATTACTTGAATAACAATTAATTGCTCGAATATTAATCTAAAGACATACTGAAATAACATCAGGCTTTCTGTGAATTAAAGGAGATTTTTGGGTGAACACTCTGCCTGCTTAGTGAGGTACAGCTGGAAAATGCCTTCAGCAGGCTGGAAGCTATATAGGAAAGGATTTGGAATTTATTCAGTTGTCTTTCTGGAATTAATGGGTAGAAGACAGGGAATATGAATCTCTGGAAATTCAGTTCACAGTAGTTGCAAACTGGAGATGGAGTTTTGGTTGTAATACTGATTTAAGACTATATTTGTGTCGTTGTTTTTTAGAGCTGATTTTTCCTTTGATCTTGTTCAACCATGGATCCACACAACTGATGACATTGACATGAGAAAAATCCCAATTTCTTGAACAAATGGGCCAACCTGGTGGTTCTGTATCACCAAAAGAGAGATGTCTCATGGCCCTTCCTCATCAAATCCTTGCCTTTGTTTCCACCCTCATTCTTTCTTCCCAGGATTTACTTCAAATTGATAATCCAAGAGTTACTTCAAGTTGATAATCCAGCAATAAACTGGTAGTGGTTAATTTTGAATGGTCAGATTTTTTTCTACATCTGTAAATATTCTTCTACTTTGGTGTATTCTTGCATTTGCTGTAGCACCTCAATGCTTTGTCATTTTTATTTTAGGCCATTTGCTTTACAAATCACCTTGTTTTCCATAACAGGTTATAACACAAGTAGCTAATCACCCATCCCAATTACTTCAGTTGAATAAATAAAGTATAAAACCAAAATCTTCAAATATTAAAAGTCCATTTCTTTCCACTGTTCACAAAGAAGATTTTGTTAATACCATTATATTTACAAGATTTCATTTTTATGCATTAAATTCTCCCAGGTCCATACACAGGATTTGGAATGACCTTTTTCCCCAAGTCAAATGTAGTTTTTTCATGAACATGTGAAGCACTTGAGGTTTTTTGACCACAAAATGTGAAACTTTAAAATCATATGGATTTGTTTCATCCATTCCTATTCATTTCTCCTTTTTCTCATGTTGCCATTGCAATTCTCCATAAGCTCTGGACTCGGGCAAATTTTTCAGCCAAGCCCTAATAGAGTTTGTACTCAAAACTTGTCTTGCAATAAAAGAAAAGTCAGCGCTGATGGGAGAAGTGGGGACAATAAATTGAGAATATGTGATGGATCAATAAAACCTTGATCTTGTCCACCAATGTAAAATGTTTATCCTTCACAGGAAAGTGAAATGCAAAGTAGCAAATGCTTATGGTCTCAAAAATAAAAGAAGTTAAAATGCTGCTCCTGAGAGCAGTTATTGCAGGAGAGTACACAGTTGATCTCAGCTCCTAAAATATCTCTGAATACTTAATGTGCTCATAATTTTAGGCAGATCATGCTGTGAATTATTAATCTACCTCTTTCATACCATTCCTCTAGAAACAGTGACCACAAATTCATCATCTTGTGCCAACAATATTGATCATCAATGCCTGACAGAGAAAACCCCACAGAAGAATTCCCGACCATCAAATAGGAACTGAGACCTCAACCTCTTTGCTTTAAGGAAGTGTTGAAACCACTTCTGATCTGGGTGTAAACTCTGTGCTGGCAACTTCCAGCCTGGCAAACTTGGAATTAGCATGTGGGTCTCAACATTTACATTTCTGAGAGATGAGTATCCCCCTCACTTACCACGTGGGGTAAATCTGGATTCAGGTCTCTCTGCTCTTGACTCTTTGATGTCAGTACCCAGCTGAAATCACACTTCAGCATAATTATGGCACAGATCAAATCTTATTTGTAAGGAACTGGCCTTGTATTTCACATCTGAGCTGTGTCAATAAATGTCAGCTCCCGAGCTGTTGATTTTGGAGTCATATATAGTCACTATAGAAAGGCAAGAGAGGAGAGAAAGCCCCCCACAAATGTGAACAGAATTGCTCAAGATGAGGGAGATCTCCCCCTCCCTGCAGAGAGTGTGGCGATCCAGTTTAGGAGACAGTTGGCTTTGCTCTTCATGTTCCAGGGAGCATCTCCCATGCCAGATTTTTCTGGGTTTTTATTCATCATCATTTTACATCACCTGTAATTGGGAAATCTGAATTACACTGTTTCTGTGTCTCACTTTCCAGCCTTCAGAAGGGCAAGGCCAGAGGCAGGTGTGTTTAAAACACATATAACCAGCCAGTTACAGGGAAAAAAACCAACAGAGGGAAAGAAAGTCTTCATCTGTTTGGTGTAATCAGGGCTCAACTTTTGTATAAATACTTGGTGGGAACACAGAGCCTCCCTAGTGAAATACTGTCTCGGGCAGGGTTCCCTGATCTTCCTTTATATCACTTTTGTTACCCCTGGCACACATTCCCAGCCCTTCCCACTCCAGATTTCCTCCCTTTGCCCACTTGCTCGGGGACTTTCAACCAAGCCAAGCCTTGCCACTCCCTCTGGGGAAAATCCTGCAGGGAAGTACTGCTGGTTCTCTGCCCCCTTGTTCTTTCTCCAAGGAAAAAAAGGAAAAATGATGGCTTTTTCCCAGTGTCCTAAAAGCTACTTCCAAGCAAGAGTGAGTTCTCATGTTAGTTCCTTGGGAGCTCCAAGCTGTGTTTTCCTGCAGCGGACGACCTTGTTCTGGTCGTTCCTGTACAGAAAACCCAAGCACACAGGTAGAGATGTTCTCCCTCCCCAAACCTGCTATCCCATGCCTGTGTCCTTCCATCTTCCTGTTCCCCACTTATCCAAAACAGCTCATTCAACTTATCCAACTGGTTCTACAGCTCACCAGCTTTCCCACCCTGTTGATATGTTCCCTACTTCCCCAAATCTGGAACTCTGACCCATGTATGCAGCGTTCTTTCCTTAATTGTCACATCTACTCCCTCTGCATACTCAGAATTATTCTGAAATTCATATAAATTTTTCTATGTTGGATTGGACTTTATTTTTTTAAATAGGATCCACAAGACTGAAATGAAATTTCCTTCTTGCACTTTACACAGATCTATTCATCCAGCAGTTCCCTGACTGATCTCATGGATACTTATGGGATTTCAGTATTGCCAGTACTCTGTCATGTTCCTGAGGTTAAAGTTGAAAAGCAGATCCCATTCCACTGCTGATGCACAGAAAATAGGAAACACCAACTTCTATTTCCAGTTCCCAGATTTAATACACAAGGATTATGGTTATTAGGTTTTGAGAGGGGCCAAGTCTGCAAATTTCAAAAGCTGGAGTTCCTCCTGCTTGTCAGGCAGTTTTAGAAAGTTATCACTTTGTTTTTTATTTGGGTTTCCTTTTCCCACAGGAATTTGCTCAAAGGAGAGAAATTCCCATTCTATGGAATGCCACAGGCTACCTAACTTTCATAACAAAATCAAACCCAGACAAAATAAACTTCCCTGAATAAGGATTGAAAGCTCAGTGTATGTTTTTCATCTGAATAAAATTAAAATACAAGTTTTTTATCAAAAATGTTAAACACTGATGTCTTAGGAGAAAAATCAATTAAAAATTCAGGAGGTATTTGAGTTCAGAGGAGATTAAGTGATGTCTAATGGTATGCTCAGTCAAAACTAGCATAATTCCAATCCAATACAGCAAAAAATTGATTAAATGCTACTAAATGATAGATCTCCCTACACAACCATTGATCATCATAAATCATTATAAAAGGTATTTCTGTTTCTATTGATGTCACACGGTTCTTCAACCATTTCAGGGAGCAGTTGTTTACAGAAGTCTTCAGCTGCAGAACCAGGCTGGGACACTCCTTCGCTACACAAACTGTACACAAAAAGCAGATTAAACCTCCATTTATGGACAAGGAGTAGGTTGGTCCCACATACCAAAGAAATCTCAATACTGAAAAGTAGTTCAAAAGTGCCCAGGGCTTTATATTTACCTGAATTAGCTCAATTGGATGGGCCCAGCTTACCACAATATCCAGTATACCTGTCCTCCCTCTAATTTACTTTTTCACTCATCTTTTTGCATTTGTAAATTATATCAAGTAATCATATCAAAATTATGTCAAGTAATTCTGTCTTTATTTCCTTATTGTTAAGTGTTACAACAAATGCTCCAACTAAAGCATCTTCCTAAACAACAACATTCCGTTCAATTGTGGGGAGTTTTTTTCACTTGTCAGCCACTTGACTGTATCACAGCAGTTTAAATCACAAGGCTGTAAATCAAATTTAGGCTTATCACAGTATGAGTATCTTAGATCTCTGCTTCACATCTAGAGGGGTTGTCAGCCAAAACTTGTAATCACCTCAAACAAATGTTCTTTTTTGTTTCAAAGAGATGTGCTGTATAACTGTGGAGAAAAAAGGGCTCTCACTGAAAGGATATTCAACCCAGTGCTGAAAAGTATCATAAAAATCAAAAATTGGAGGGCAGAGATACTGTTAGGGAGCAGCCAGGGCCTGCTGCTCCTGGTGGGAAGCCAAAATTTACTGTAGTAACATGGGGCTCATGATGTGTCTAATACCAACTTTTTACCTTTATTTCTATGGATAGAGTAATTTTATCTTTATTTCTATGAATATTTCTGTGAATAGAGGAGTCCAAATTGTTCTTCACAGTCAAATGGGCAGATCCAGGTACTTTCTGCCCTCCTACACCCCAATAAATTTGTGCTGAAGCTCTTCATCTCTTCAGCTGATTTGGTCAGGCATAATCATTAGACAAACAATGTTGTTTTCTAATTATATTCATGATTTATTTATAGTCATGATGCAAAGCTTCCAAGCAAACCTGAAAATTGCAATCAAACCTCATTTTCTCCAACTGGCACATCAAAATCTTCCTGCCCATCACATACATAGGAAAGGTAAAGGAGGAGTAAAATTGAAAGTAACTTGAAGGTGAAGGATTACTGACTATTTTAGGGAATCCATAATGCTGATATAGGACAAATTCCTTGCTTTACACTTCCTTTCCTTTTGACAGGGAATCACTGGTAATTATTCTTTACATAAACTGGCTTTACAGTAGTTTCATTTGGGTCGTGATTTCTCAGGTTGCTTCTGAGTCATGTGAGAGAGTATTAAAAACATTATTAAAGTCAGGAGATGTCATTTACTTCTCCTTTGTCCATCTCTTTGTGGAAAGAAATTAAGTAGTTTCTCACAGTTTGGTTGTGACAGTTTTACGTTGCCTGTTACCTCTTTTATTTCCCACTTGGGATGTTTCACAAATAGCAGTAGAGCATCTCTAACTTAATTTAGGAACACCTAGTACACAGCTTAATTTGCAAGTGGCCACATCAGCTTGCTGCTTTGTTTCCAAGCTGAAAACCTCTTTTTAAGAGCTTTCAAATGGCAAAGTTTCTCCCAGAAAAAGAAATTAGTGCTGATGTGAAAGCCCTGTGCACTGACATGAGGAGACGCCTCTCCTCAGTCTGACTCTTGCGTTCAGTTATACTGACCTGCTTAACTTAGGCTCTATTATATAATTCACATTTCTTAACCTGATGTCTCTTTGCATGGTCAGAAAGGGACTGGAAATACTTAAGAACTCTTATAGATAATATTCTTATGGTGGAGAACAAAAGTGTACTTAG